GCAATCAACCTCTCTAAATGAAATGAAAGTAAAATTTGTGTGCAAATTTTATCTCGTCCTAACTCTTGGACATGTCCTTAGTTCAAACTTAATGTATGTTTAGTGTGATTGAACTAATCCATCAAAGAGGTTGTGTCTTCGTAGCATAGAGACGAAGGACAACGAAAGCCATTACAACTCTGGTTCAACCATGATTGTAACCTTGATGTGAGAATAATGATGTTCTAAAGGCTGAACTGTCTTAAGACTGAATTCTTATTCATTTGCTTAGATTCATTTGGCCATAATATTTAAATTTCATTACATGGTTTACTGCTTTAAGCGTCTTTAAAGGACATTGAAGAAGTACCTTCTTGTCAATTATTTAAAAAAAAAGCTTTAATTGGAGTGAAAATATCTAGATAATTTACTACCAATCTATTAGGAAAATCTAAAAGGCAAAGAAGTTATTGTTTGATAGAGGCAAAGAAAGGTTAGAAGAAATTAAGGAAGACACAGAGCATTGTAAGTGATTCGTCCATCGAATAGGCCTATAGATATTTACGATGGCATATACAATTGTAACGGGCACTCTGTCTTGATACTCTCAAGTCGACATGATATGATGATTATAAAGGCAAATTTTGTGTTGCCTTCAAATATATAGAAATAATCGACGTTTAGTCACTTTTGACGTTTTTTATTTAATCAAGAGCCCTGTAGTGCTGGTCTAATACTAATTAGTTAACTACTAATAAGATGATAAGAAATAATAATGACATAAGGTCATTACGAACTTTGACTTGAAATCAGAGGCGAATTGAAGCCGTCTTCTGTGTCTTCCAGACGACGGTCAGATTTTCAAGTTCACTGACGGGTATCTATTTTTTTTTTTCTGTCGGAACAAGGTCCAAAAAGGAGGATAGATCAACAAAAACTAGAAAAGCACTCCGAGAGCGCAGACCTCCGCCAAGGCAGCGATTTTTGATTATTATTGATTATTGATTGATTATTGATCCGGATCACCACCAAAAACTAATCACTTCTAAGTTAACCTATTTCTGACCTACCCTGAAAATTTCATCAAAATAGGTCCATAACTTTTTGAGTTATGTTGATGACAAATAAACAGACAGAAAGACAGGGGTGAAATCATTACCTCCTTGGCGGAGGTAATAGTTTGGAAGACTGTCAGAAAATATCTCTGGATCCGCCCTGGAAATTCCTTCATGTTGTTCTTTTTATTAAAAAAAATTAACTGTTATGCATGTATAGAACAGCTTAATATTTCAAAGATAAATTTACAGTATGCCTAACACTTTTCACTTTTCACCATGTTAAAAAGGTACGGACCGCAAATCAAAATGGAAAGGTCAGCTGCGGGCGCATTGGTCTGGAGAGTTCACTGACGTCAGTCAGGTAATCCTCGGGAAATGCCCATGGTTTATTTCAGACTTTTTCAACAAGTCACATGCCTCGCATGCAAAGGGTGGTCGCCTACATATGAACCCGTTACTTTGCGAAAGAAACACCTTACAGAAGACTAGGAACTCGCCACAGCACTGGCCTAAAGAATAACCGCTAGTAAAATACCCCCCCCCCCCCCCGCCATATAGTGGGACTGGGCGATGAATCAGCACATCTGTCTCGGAAGAAAAGACAAACGCTATAAAACTATTAAAACTCGAAACCAAAGGAAGCGACCCATTCTGTGGTCTTAAGCATCCAGGCTGCAGAAATGTGTAATGGGAAAGAGAGATAGATGGGGAATTCATTATTGCACCCATCAGCAGTGTCTTGCCTCGAGTATAAGGGAATAGCTTGTATATGGACGAATATAAATCAATGAATAAATAGGTATATGTAAATAAACGAATGAAAGAAAAAAAATAAAATAACATTCAAACAAACTTCTTAAATCGTTTTTTTTCCTTTTTTTTTTGTCAAAGCAGTCATGATCCGAACTGAAAAAATAAATAACCAATATTTTTCAGGTCAATTTTCATAAAATCATCTGGCAAAATAATCTAGTAAAATAATTCAAAAATTCCTAACACGATTTTAGACATGCTTGTATAATCTGTGCATGTTTATCTTACTCTTCTTGACTAACCTTGTAATACATGGACAATCTTCTCTTTCTTGCTTTCTTCTTGTTCCTTTTTGCTTGTTTTGGGGCGTTCGCGAGTGGGGCTCTTAAATAGGGCCGGGTTGAAAGGGAAATAACCCCGCAACTCATCTAAATTACAAATTAACAACAATAACGCCAGCTTTTAAATTGACATTTTGAGGAGAAGGAAAATATTGTTTACGCCTGACGTCAGCCTGAGAATTCCCCCACAGCAGTTGGAGCATGTCCCTATTCCACGGTATTTTTTCCACGTTAAAAGGGGATTGAACAAAAACAAAGAAAAATATCTTCAGAATTACATGTACCTTTTTTCAAACAAAATTTGCAAAATCATACACTGAATGTATAACAGCCTAGAGTTGAACAGAACCCTTCTCTCTCCCTAACACCTGTGCACAACTACATTATACACATTTATGTATTTGGACAGGTTAAAAGTGTTTCAGATATTTTAATCCTGCTTTTTTTCTTTTTTGGGAAATAGTTAAAGGAGTATAATTCTTTTATTCAGAATAAACATGACGTTTGCTGTGGTGTATCAATTATTTCTTCCATCTTCGGTAATTACTAAAAATTGCGCAATGGAAGTTCCAGGATCCTCGTATGACAATAAAAACTTATGAAAGACCTCTACAAGAACAAGGAAGGTAAATTCTTAAGGAAATGAAAAAAATGAAGTTTGATGACTGAATGTTTTTTTGTTGCTTGCAGTAACATTAGTTCAATTGGCAGCATAGCAACAGCTACAATACCATGGTTTGCTTTTTAGCCTGTGAACTCTAATGTTAGTTAAATGGACAACATGTGCCAAGAACTGATTGTAGAAAGGGAAATGGCATCTAAATCATTCATCGCATTATTCACCATAAGCCCAATAAGATATAGTGTTTAATCATCTTCACATACATTTTAATTAACTGTAATGCGTCTGAAACAACCATGTGATAAGTAAATAACTGCGTAAACAAACATTGCCCGTGTGATAATTCAAAAATATTTCAAAAAGTGACCGCTGAGCATTGTCCAACAACAGGGGTACATGTATATGTAGCTTTTTGTCCTTGGAATAAAAGTGGTGGATGACGAACACCTGTGTTAATGGGCTCAGTGAATGGTAATTTTTCCTTTATTACTAGCAGAATACTTAATTGTATCGGTTGTAAAAACAGACAAACATCGAAATCTGTACCATGCAGACGCAAGCTCGGAATGCTGAGATGGCACTGAGGTTGTTACAGACCAAATGACGATCAAAGCTTGATCTAGAAAATGTGTTACAGGATCTGGAAATAACGAAGGTTTAGTTGACAATGTACAGCGTACCACCAAAATCCGACAACTTTATCGCCTGAATACGTCTATATTCCAATTACTTTGAATGCCAATTCAGGTAGGGGATAGATCCACTCCATACCATTTTTTAAAAAACCAAATGAACAAAAATTGGGTGGTTTCAAGCTTACCAAAATCTTCATTCAACACAAACGCCTTTAAAATTTTAAGAACTGAAAATCACTAATCTCTATTGTTCCAATACTTCAGAAATAAAATGTGTGAATGTTCTTAATGCACTTTACACATAATTTGCATTGACTTGAATAAGGCATTTTACTGGGTTATTTTTTTTTACTAAATTTGTATTTGTTCAATCCTAAAAATGATAATGAAATATGAAAACAAATGTTCTACCATATTAACAATCAAAAATTAGAGTAAAAAGAATATTTATTGTTATATATTACATCAAATATATACAAAGATATATACAAATACTAAAAGCAATAACAATTGAGCTGTAACAATATATTAAATTGCAGATAGATACCACATTTGATGCTTTTAAAAAGCTCCATCATATTTACTTAAAAAATCTTTTGTGAAATTTTGTTTCCAAAATGTCATCATCCTGTAATTCTTGTCTCAATATAAAACCAGTAAGAGAATTCTTTACCAAATCCTCTTCCTGAATATTCATTTTTTTTTATATTTCCAATGTATATGCCTAATGTTTTAGTTCAACAGAAATTTTCAGTTCTCATGTTGATTGATGTTCTAAATATTAGAAATGCAATAAAAACAGAACAAAATTTAAAAAAGCAATCTATAATGACATATATTAATGTTACAATATTTTCTTTTTGAGCAAATAAAAGGTGCAATTATTTAATCAAAATATGCAAGACATGATAATAAAAATGGACAAATAAAAATAAATGGAATTCTTGTGAGTTACATATATCAAAAGCTTAAAAAAACTGCTGCAAGTTTTTTTCTTAGGTAAAATTAAACTGAATCACACAGAAAGCATCAGAAATCATATTTTAAAAAATTACCTGGATATCAAACATATATCAAAGTAGCAAATCTTCTTGAAGTGATATAATTACCACTAATTTGTATACAGTGTTACTTCATTTGGAATGACACAAGAAACTGCAGTGTGTATATTATGCCTTTTCAATAAAAAAATACCACTTAGAGATCAGCAGAGTATCATATTCCATTTTACAAAATATCATCTTCAGCTGCTATAATACATAGCTTGTGCTATCCCAATCAGTTCTGTCTCAGATATAAATATATTTGAATAAATAATTGTCTTTTCTTTCTTATCTCTTTTCAGCTGAGATTTCACCATTTAGGTGAAAAATGTAATGCTAAATTGATAGACTTGGTTTAAATATTTGATTAATATTCTATGAACATTGTGGCTACTTAAGTTGCAGATTTCCGTAATTTTTGTTGTTCTTTCATGGTGATGGCTGGATTACAAAATATAAGATCTACAAACAGATCTATGCATCTTTCAAGTCAATCCTGGCTATGACACGTTGGCTATGTGACCTTGCCTAAATGACCTTGGCTATGTGTCCTTGGCTAGGTGACCTTGGTCACTCTGGACTGCTGTGAATCTGTCCGTAGTCGATTTCCTTTGGTGGTTGCAGCATCACTCTGCTGGGGGGTAGTATTATCAATTTCCTAAGAATAACAAACAAACACAACATTACTTTGGCATTTACAGATTACAAAATGATCAGGTATAATAAACATGAGACCTTTCATGTACAAAGAAAATTACTTCTAAAATGTATCAATTGTCTGATTTTTTTCCAGTGTTATAAAATATTGCACATTTACACCTGGGGTCAGAAAATCAATATGAAGGACACTATTTGACATCTTACACAGTCTTATACATTTCAAAGTTTAAGAAAATTGTTTTATTTTATAAAATTTAATAATATATTAAAATAAGTCAAATTCTTTTATGTGCAATTTGATATCCGAAAATGAAATACACGTATATATATATGAAATGGATGCAACATACCTGAAACAAACATGTATTTATCTATCAGCACAACATTATTTGGGTAAAACAGGTGCGATGAGTGCCAATAGGTGCCACAAATGTAAAACATATCCTATACCACAAATTCATGCAAACTTGTTAGCACCCTGCAACCAACCTGTGTCCCAATATTCCAACAGAGTGCACAAATACGCAATCAAATATAAAAGTTAAAAAAAAGGGAATCCAGTAAACATTTTTTCCATCTCTGAGAGCAGAATTGACCTCATGTTTACACCCTGAGTTTGGGAGCACTCACAGTGACTTTCTTGAATATCAACATCACTGAATGAGCACCCTGAAATTCAAGGTATATGGATAGCATTATGAAGCACATGTATTCCATTCTTTTTTACTATCCTGGAATTGACATGTATGTGCTTCCTGGATTCCATTTTTGTAAACTGTTAATATGTGCAACATTTTCAAGTTAGTGCATATGTTTTTATAAAACCTGGATATGAACAAAATACAACGATTAGTTCATTGAGCAATGTGATGTGAAATTAATAAGCAAAAGTGATATATCAATACATGAAGAGCTGTACATGTGTGCAACCTATTCACAAGATAAAACACCTGAAAGTACAAACTGTAGAAAAAAACAGTGAATACAATAAAACATGTATAATATACACCAAAAGTGAACATTTGTCATCTTCATTTCATGGTTTCAAAAAGATGACAACAATAATAGTTAAAACCTCTTGCATTTGTGACATTATGAATAACAGAAGCAGCTTAAAAACAAGATTGTTTGACAACTGTATCACTAAATATTTTATTAATCAGAGAAAGTAATTATAAAGAAATGGGTAATTGTGAGCTTTGATATTTCAGCTTTATTTCATGACAGAAAATTTTTGTCCAAGGTTATTTGTTTAAACATACAGGGTATTTTTGTATGTCAAGGATCATAAAATGAATTTTAAAAGAGTACCTGAAATATATTTTTATTAAAACTTTAAACATAATATCAGGTAGTCACACTTTTTTAAAAGTTTTTCAAAATAGATCCCATGTGGCTCATATCCAAAGAAATAAAGACATCACATCCCTTTCTTGAAAAATAGTACCCTATTATGTTCTTTGAATACAATGTGTACATGTATAATATCTGAGATCACAATTATGAGTATACATGTGTGTTGAACATATATATATTTCACTGGTGACTGGCACAAGCTTAAAGCAAGTGAAGTTAATTGCCACCCTTAATTATGTACTGTGTTCCCTTGCATGTTCAGAGATGCTATCTTGCTTTTAAAATCCAGTTGAGAAAATCCAATAAAATGAAAGCTTGAGTATGATACTCAAACAAACAGAAATGGCACAATTATTATTGTAGATTATTTCCAAAACTGTTTCATATTTCATATATCTCCAGAACATACATGCAGTATTAACAATTTCAACAATTTGGCATGTTGTTAAATTCTGAAGGATAATTGGTGACAGAATACACAGACATGTAAAGTTTTCATAAATTTTCGTTCATTTACTGATGAAGTACCAAATGTCAATGCCAAATTACTGAAGGTCAGTACTTAAAGGGTGAATTGATGAGTTATACAGTGATTTGCAAGAACAATCATAACTGTGATGATGGTAACTCGATGACAACATGGTCATCATCTTACCGCTGATGTCACATGAATGGCAGGACCAAGGCCAATCAACATTTGCTCTTCATAGGATACATTTTTCTGGAGAGAAGAAAGTCAATGAAAAGGAGGAACTATCTAACATGAAAGACTACTTCATTCTGATTATGCCATACAAGATACTCCTCTTTATGGACTTGCCAATGCTGAAGGAGAAGGAACCAATAATGCTGAACAGCACTGCCATCTGGTGTCATGTATTTGCCCTGGGTGGTCAATTCTTGGCTCGTTCTGCACCACGTATTTTGGACAAGAAAGTGTACTGGCAAAAAATTTTAATTTAAAAAAATGCTAAATCAACTATGATCAAATAACCTAGTGCAAAAAAGAATAAAAGTTAAACATGCAAAAGATACATGTACTATAGTAGTACATACAGGTTACAAGTGCAACACCATACTATGGTTCAGTCAAGACAGAGTAGAGGGCAGTCTGAAAACCTTGAAATTCCAAAGCTCCTTTTTAAGTATTCTTACTTCAAATAAATATAAACATGGATTTGAGATCTGCAAATGTTTAATCCACTACTTTAATTTTTGATGAATACCTGATTGTGTTAGAGATTCAGAACAAGTTACCATAAACAATTATATGTAACTTGACTTCACCACCTATATGGTTTTGTCACAGGCTACAACAGAAAAGACAGCTATTATTTTTACTGTCTACTGTGCCATACACATTTCCACTGGTGCTTCCATTGCTTTATTACTCACATGACTTGTTGGCAGGCTTTTTCAATTTAACCACTGACATCAGCTTATTGACAGTGGAAGAAAAATAATCCTGCCTAGCTGGTATGGAAACTGGCTTATGAAAGTTCTGATGATCATCCAGCAAATTATGCCATGCTGATGGCTGCAGAAAGGACACAAATATAATACAAAACCAACAACAACAACAAAAGCTCTAGCTATAAAAGTTACCAGAGAACCATATGCATATACCTTTGTCTACCTGTTCAAGCCAACTTCTAGGAAAACAAAAACTAACTGCTTTAAATATAAATCATTATGAACATCTATATCTATATATAGATTAAAGAAAGAGCAATGGTAAACTGGTCTGAAATAAACAAACAAATAAGCATAGTTCAACATTTATCAAGGATATCCATATCTAAAAAATGGCAATAAAACAGACACAAAACACACATTCATATTTCAAAAGACCTAGCTACTTCATGCACATTCCAATAAATTGTACTGTAACATATATAAACTGGAAAGTAAAGTGGCAGAACTGGAGGCACCCAAGTCTCACCATGCACACACTTAATCATCATCCCAGTTTCCATTTGGAGGCTACACAGAGTGGCAATTAATAAATAAATTAATGATAAAAAAAACATAATCATACCATGCAAATTGATTTCAAAGATGTTACATTGGTTCACACTTGCATGCAGTATTTTAAAATTTTGAAAATTGATTAATAAAATCAAAATTATAAAATTATTTTGGCCCAAGGAAAACAAAATTATCAATTTGCTAGTGTGAACCAAGTAATACAGATGTTAACCACAGACTGAAGTATGAAAATACTTCCATGCAAAATGTTATACATTTAATATACATTTGAAAATTTAGGAAAAGTCCTCTTATGCTTTTATTCCACTTATTAAAGAGCAGAACTTAACACATATGATGAACAGTCTAGAAGAAAGGTAAAGCATAGTTCCAACACCATGTACATGCAGCAAAATAAAATTTCATTACTCCAATTACAACAGGTCACCCAGTAATGAAGACAATGAAAAATCATGCAGTAAGCCATGCTGGACAAGAAACATTTAACTATTTTCAGAACTGGTACCATATACCTATACTGTCCATAACATGGTACATATATGTATTAGAGCACATAAAAGGCTGTAAAAGAAATCTGCTTACCCTCCATTTGACTCCGTCACTGAGGGAGAAAGAGAAAGCCTGCACACTGCCTTGAGGAATGTGAGGAAGAACAAACTGGGTTTTTGGCACATCCATTTGCTCAAACATTTCCAAACGCTTTTTGAACATTTTTTGTTGCTTGGTCACTAAAATGCAAAAAAGTTCTTAATAATTCTTAATTACTTTTAAAAGAATTTGTAGGAAAAAATCTATAAAAAGACATATGTCTTACATCTTTTTAAAGAAAAATTGTGCATGAAATTTCTAAACTCATCACATACATGGTCTTTTCTTCTCATCTGCAGGTGGAGTGTATTGCCTGATAAAACCTGCCCACCACGGCAACAATTCCTTGAAGACATGATACTGGGCTTCATCAAATATGGCTGACACCATTTCCTTGTTGCCTAGGTAACGTTGCACTGCACGTAAGGTCTTCTGATGAACGTCATTTGAAATTCCAATCTGGAAAACAAATAAGAAAATCATCCGGTGCCAGATGAACTACAAAATTTCCTAATCTAATTGATTCTGTAATATATAATACAACTATAATGTACCACTGTTTTCACCAAGAAATTGTATTAGCCTTCTACATTTTTCAATTATATTTAGTTATTCAGTTTATTCATATAAAAAGTTAGGTTATTCTTACTGTATATTAGAAGAAGTAGAAGTTTTGTGTTTAAAGCATTTCTTTGTGTTTTAAACGAAGTATATGTATTACCTGCAGTGCAGGGGGAATGTTGGATTCCAGGTAACACAGATTTAAAGTTGCAACCTTTCGCCTTAATAATTCTTCATCAGAGTATGCATGACTCATCTCCTGGAAGAGAAAAAATCTTTTGTTTCAGTTACTTGGTTTATTTTGTTCCCTTACAACAATGAAAATCTATGTGCTCCCCATTGAGGTGCAAATGATTCAAGATTGAGTAGATTTACGGCAGACAAAAATGTCAAACGTTTTTTACCTGCTTAACCTCAGTTATTTAAATATTTTCAAGTCTTATGTACAAAATTCAGTCAAGCCTTTACACAAAATTTCAGACCACAAGATTCTGATAACACTTCTGTGTCAACACTGGTTTTGGCAACACACATGCACACAAACCTTGAATTTCTGAACTTCAATGTAGAAAAACAAATCCTTTTCTAGGTGAGGGACATTCTCGTCCTCTCCATGTTTGACCAAATACTTGTAGAAGAACCACATTCTAATTGGCATTTGCCCCAGCACTGATTGGTTCAGATTCATGAGAAACTCCACCTTGTCATCCTTGGTTGGTTGATGTCTTCCAGTGCTCTAGATAAACAAACATATTTTTAAAAAATTGATACAATAATTGCTAATTGAATTCCAACTAAATCAATGAATGCATTTCCAATACAATATTTTGTTAGTCATATTTAATGTTGGTTCAAAAGTTTTGATAGATTAGTTGATTTTTTGTCAAAAAAATTCATGAGTAACTAGACAAATAAAATAGGAGGAGATGCTTGAATGTTCTAAGTAACTGATGTAAGTGAAACCATAATTCTCAATGTTTTATATATAGTATAATTATATGCTTCATTCTAACAACAGAATACATACACCTAATTGCCCTCACCCTAATATGTCATAAGCTGTCACCAACATTTCCAATAAGTTTTAAACTGCATTCACAGACAACAAAATTGTAATTGAGATGTCAGAAATAATTAATATCATGAATTAATAACCATGAGAACAGTTGGACCTCTCTCTGATCCATCTCCAGGAAGGTAGTCTTATTATGAAAAAATCATCACTGAGGATAATGAAAAAAATGGAGCAAGTTTTATATCAGGTCGTGAGTCTGTCATATTTCTTAAAAGACAGACTTTTCAAATGTTCTCCACAATCACCCTTTATATCTACCATCATCTTAATGAAAACATCCAAAAGCGAACTAAATAATTTAATATAGTAATATTGATAGAAAGGCAAATAAATAGACAAAAAAAAAGATAATAAACTAAATATTCAGTAAACTTTTCACCCTTATACATTCCATGAGAATTTTGCAGCAATAAAACTATGGCAGGAAAATCTGGTAAAAAACTAAAATAATTTTAAAAAAATGAGACTGAAAATAAGAGAAAAAGACCATTAAGTGAATCTGATGCATATTTAAAAATGTTTTTCAAAAACAATAATAAAAATTCAAAATAAAATTGATCAAACAAATATGAGAGTATGCCATATGACTTAATAATATCATTTGCTTTTAAGTCATGGCACAACTTAAAATGAGAGTAAAATAGAAGCAAACAATACAAATTCATTTTTTTTTCTGACTTAATATTAAAAAGAAAAGAAAACTCATTGAAATGAACATCAGGGCACTTCAATTTCTTGACTTACTGACACAGTTACAACACTGACAACTGGTTTCGGAAGTGAATATTTCTTTCCAGGCTTTGGCTGAGCCTGAACTTGCTTTGTTTGAGCCTGAACTGGTTTTTCTGGCTAATACGAAATACAACGTGCTCAATAGCCATAAAATGATATCATACATGTATTTCTACCCATGAATCACTTCAGAAAGTAACTGTAAAAATATGGAAAACAGCTGCTTGGTTTAGCAAACTACTATAATAATACAACCAAACAATTATTATTGCAGTCTCAATTTCATGGCTAACTTAAACAAAAAATCTAAGCTTTCATCTTAAAATAACTCTATAGAAGAGACGATCACCTTGGAGAGGTGACTTAAAACATATTAAATTTTTAGTATTCATATATAATGTTTCAGTTTTGTTCCATTTTGTTCACCAAAGGCAAATAACATCTTTATCAAAGCACATACTGATAGATCAAATATCAAACTTCACATCAAATAAGTAAATTGTCTGTGTAAAGAATATTTGACATATCATACACTACCAAGAAAATATTTCATCAAAAATATGACAGCTGGAACAGTTAAGCAAGCATAAAAATGCAATCTTGATGTGCAAAAACTGGAATAAATACTTCACTCAAAAAACTAAATGGTCAACTTCAAAAAATAGATATAAAATGTATATAACTGACATAGTAAATGTCCAGAAAATAAATTGTGAACAAGCAAACGAACATAATGTTTTCACACAAATGAAGGCACCTCAGATGGTACATGTACTATCTTGCTGTACCTGATCTGGACCATTCTGAGACAGTTTCCATACTACTTTTTGCATAATAACCTTTTTCTCTTTCTTCCTGTTGCTCTATATAGGATTGTAGTGAATTAAAAAAGTTTTGAAACAAACATGAAAATTGATTTTACATGTGAGCATATCATAGATAATAAGTGCTAAAAAAACTAAATAACAAACAAAACTCTTTACCAAAAATATGCTGTAACCATAATAATTCACAAGTTAGACATATATAAATTAACTTACATAATTTCTCCTGACTGCACAGTTTATTTCAAAGGTAAATGTATTATCCGTAATATATATATAAGAGTGGAAAACTTCATAATCACCATAAGTATTTCTATATTGCCTTCATCCACTGTATCATTTACAAATAAAATTGAAATCTGAATTGCTTTTCAAAACTCCTAGTAAAACTGCTTCTGTTCCATAGCATTAAAGTGATAAGAATATTTAATGATAAAAAATTCAATCCTAAAAATAGAAATTATCTAAGTATGGTCTTTAGAATAGGAAAATGAAAGCAACAGGAAAGAAACCAATTATGTATCTTCACCTAGGAGGGATGACGTTTTGATCCTTAATCAAAAAGTTAACCTAAGAAGCAATTTATAATAATAATAATAATAATAATAATAATAATAATAATAATGATAAAAATTTCCATCCAAAAAGGGAAACCCTTTTTTACTTCTCCTAGAGAGAGAATTATTTCCCTTCACTTAAAAAATATACCCTAAAGACACAAATAGCAAATATTATTGGTGATTTATTACCTTTTGTTTTCCTTTTTTAGATTTCCAAGTGAACTGCAAGTCACTGTCAGACCTCATGGCTAGCTCTGCCTTTGACATGGAGTTCAGGTTTTTCAGATCTGTGCCTGTGCTTTCATTTTTCTGAAAAAAAATTATGAAACTAGTTTTCAAAGAAAACTAGTTTTCTAAATTTTTTGAGTAGTAAGGTTTATCGTATATTATTAAGTAATTCTTGTATTAATTATTGTATATAAGTAATACGTAAATTTGTAGGTATTGTAAAAGACAAAATAACAAAAATTTACAAAATCACGAAAATACTGCCATTATTTAACTTTTTTATTAAATAAATCTTAAGACATTAAAGCACAGGCATATGTGTGCATGCTTCTGTTTACCTGCCAAAATTCTTTAAAAGTTGCATCAATGTTTGGATACAAAGAATCTCTGATTTCCTTGATTGTGGGAGTCTTTGGCCTTTCCTTTTCCTTGGACACTTTGGCATATGCAGAGTCAGATATCTTCACAAATTTTCTAGCATGACCTTGCTCAAGGTAATTCCTAAAAGTGAAAATTCATAGACATTGAACTTGACATCAACTTTCTTTTAAGTCTTGAGACACTTAAAATTTTGGCAAACTTTCATTATTTTTTGACTGTTAACTCCTAATGTCTGCCTCATTTTCATTTTCAAATTCTTAAACTCACAACTCACCCATTTTTTTCTAACATTAGTGAGATTTTTAAATATCAAAACATCAACTAAAACTTTGGGTATGAAATCAGATGCCATACATGATGAAAAACCTGAGAGCATCTCAACTACTATAACATGAAAGTTAAAAATACATACTTAAAAATATATGAAGCTTGAACATCCTTCTTCTTTTTGCTCCCTCCTTCAATTGCCAGGAAAGAGTCTATGTCCAAGTATAGATTTAACATATTCAGTTTTTCTTTTGGTTCGCTTTCCTGGATGTGTTTCTTGAACATATTGATTATCCTGAATATGGAAAGAGCTTGAAAATAGTCCAAAACACTCTGTATGTTAAAGGTTTGTCAAAATGTCTTCACGTCAATCATCTATAGTCTAATATATGACTTTATTTTAACACTATCACCAGAACACTGACATTATTTGTTTAAAACATTGTTATTTTAAAACTAAGAAGATCTGCCATTATTTTCACAAAATACATAAAAAAATATATGAGGCCATAATCAATGAAGAAAGATTTAAAATATCATAATTTAAAAAAAATATTTTCAACATACTGCTTATTTCCGACCATATCCTTGAGTTCTACAGGTTTGTCTTCTAGGACAGGGGGTGGGGTCAATCCTCCACCCCCCATATCTCCATACAAAGAGTGGCCCCCTGGAGACAATCTTTCACCCTGATCCTCTTCTTCTTCACCCTCCTTTTTCTCTTCCTGTATAATTTTTTCATAAAATATATCAAAATCACAGTTTGTAACACTAAGCACTTGCCTGAGGTGATTGCCCAGCAAAAGAGGCACAAGGTTATTAGAAAAAAAAATTAATTTTATACAGCAGACTTTTATACCGTGACTGCCAAAGGGGCTTTTGTAGCCTAAAAAGTTTTTGGCACAGATTAAATTTAGTACACTACACTCATGAATTTTTAAAATATTCAATCTTAATAATATCTTGAAAAGTTTTCTGTGATTTAGAAAAAAAAGCTGTTTATCTGTCAGATATGTACTATCACCCAATACAATGCAATTTAATATACAACATAAATTAAATCTAAATACCAAAAGTAAAAATCATTTAAAAAATAATTTCGTACTGGGATGTGCTCAATGATTGGTGCATTTTTGTTTCTCTTAGCCTCTCTTTGCCTTGCCCGTGCTGCACGTAGTGCTTTGCGACGCTCTTTTTCCATTTTTTTCCTTCTCTCTAAAGCTTTTTTCTTCTTTTCTGCCTTTCTGGCTTCATCTATTTCCTCAGCTACTGAGAGAGCTGTTCTTAGCCGTCTACCACGTTCTGAGCCAGTAGAGCCAGGTGATCTAAATAGAAAGGAAACTTAATGAACCTCAGTCAAAGAATTATCCAACAATTTTCATTTTTTGTAGAATGGGACCTCAGGAACAAAGCCCTGCTTAAATTGACTGATCACAAGCTTTGTAAATCTTCCAAGCATTTTCTTCTTCTAATTAAACTCTAAATAATTTGAATAATTTGCTGTCTATTCAACCACTCAATCTCTAAACAAATCATTATAATGTGAAATAATTTTAAAAGAATAAATGCACACAAGAAAATATATTCCTAAGTTACATGAATTATATGGAATATAACTCACTGAAGCTACAGAGGACGTGATAAAAGAATGAAGGCATAATTTTCATCTGCAATCACTGTGCAATCAAATGAAAGTTACACATGCACACAAAACAAAAACCCAACATAAACAAATTGAATATAATTGCAGTGCATTAAAAAATGTAGAAAAAGAAATTGTAGGGTTATCACTGGAGGCGACCAAAACCTCTCTTGTAAATGGTACTACTTAGTTGGAACCGACAGGTTAAACAAGGACGATAAAAATTTCATGGCAACATCCTTATGTTTGGGGGCTTTTTTCTGGATCACAAAATAACAAAAAAAAAAAAAAAAAAATTGCATACATATCAATTTTATTTTTAAATGGAATATACTAGGAAAATGATAATTAAGTTAAATAAGAAAGAAAAAAAAACACATACACATGTAGTGCACAGCCTGAAGCCTCATATTTTAATATATTAAAATATCAGAAGTCTTAAATGTAAAAAACACTGTGCGAAAAGTTATCTGGACAACATGTCATCACAATATGAGATCTATGTGCCATTTAATTTTCTTGAATATTTGTCATTATATAAAAAATATGCAGGTTCACACTGTCATTCTAAAGTCTTTACATGTGCAAGGTTTCATGCTTCTTGATTACTGTTAGTATGAGTTGACCAGGTAAGTTTGTCTAAAGATGGATGGACAGATAACACAATTTCTGTGAAAAATCCCTTTTATATGTGGAGGGGAGTTTAACAGAAATCATTAAAAAACACTTTCGTCATTCAATTTTCCACGTGAAACATACAATACATCTGTAACTTAATATATTGTGCGTGCATGATCTTGAATTAAAGAAACATTCATGAGTACATAAAGATAAGGTGCTGGAAACTGAAGACTCATTGTTTCCAAATCGTGTCAAATCGTTCATCAATTTATCAGTGAAAGAGTGCAGAGGGAAAAAAGAATACAGAAAGATAAATAAATTATGTTCAAAACCATACTGATACCTGCTCCCATTCTCTCCTCTGGTCAAATGAAAGCAACAGGAAAGAGGACATTAATAGTCTATTAAAGCAGTAGACCAAATTCACTGTCTCAACAAATCTTTTTTTCCATAAAGATTGTTGACTCCAAAATAAATAAATAAATAAATAAATAAAAATAAATAAAAGCATTGAGACAGAAATTCTAGTCCTCATTTAGTATGCATTTTAAATAATATATTAGCATGCAATTAGGTTTTATAATATCTATTTCTAATTATATAATTACTTAGTTGCCAATTGTTTTTATGATCTTTTTAACTAACAACCACACCTCATGCATGAAACTTATTACATGGTTAAGAGGCAAACCTATATAGGACAGAAGCTAGTATACAATATATCTGCCATACAAGAGTAGTAATTAATCAATATCATAAGAATGAATGTTCAGCTAATATATTAGTTTTCTGATAAGGCCACAAGAACAGTATTATCGTGTGACTAGTATTGTTGGTAATATGATATAATAGTTAACATCTAGACATAACTCAATTAGCAATGATAGTAGCAACCTTTAGAATGTTTGGAGTAAGAACTACATGTATGAACATTTGTATAGACATGCATGTATTTTTTCCTTAATATAAAGAAGTTCTCAGTTTTCAGATCACAATCTGAAAACCAACTGAAACATTTTTCTGATAGCCTTATAGCCATTAGCAGCTGGTCTTGATCAATGTGTGAAGAAGAACTTACCTCCTAACCCAAGGCCTCTGGAACCTCTTGACAACTAACTGTTCATTTTCAAGTGAAACCTCTATCTCCTCAGCTGTGTGTATGGAATCAAAGTCCGATTCTTGAGAGCGTGCTTGAACTCTGGAAATAAATAATCAGGAAAAAAATTCATATTTGACATCGAGAACTGATGCTGAATATTTTCATTTTCTGTTAATGTCTTTATGATATTTCTGTCTGACAGATTTTTCTTAATTTTTTAACATGCATAGTTGACATTATTGCATCTATATTTAGATTAAAAAAAATTGATAGGTATCCATGTTAGTTGTGTTGCTATTGCGATTTGAACTTTGAATTCAATGACTATATAACCACATGGGAAATTTAATGTTTTTTTTGCATATATTTTCAATTCTGTTCACAGATGAAGTACATTCATAGTCCATGTCTCCTACACATGGTCTTCAGTACATATGGCAGACATAGATTGGAAAAAAGGATAGTTACCCAAGCAAATTTTGTTGCTAGGGCAACTTATTTTAAGATGAAACTAAACTGTTAGATCACCAGCACTAGCTGCTGACACAATGTGCAACAAAAAGACATTAATGTGCAAAGTTGTTGCCCAGAGTAGCAGAAGGACACCACTTTAATAATTCTAATAGCAAAGCATGATGCACCATACAAATCCTATAGTTATAAAAACTGCTCTTTGGTGGACAGTACATTTTATCTGCAGAGCAATTGTGAAAAAAAAATCCTTTAGAGTTCACTATAGTAAATTCAATCAGTATCCAATTCAGTGAAAGGTATTTCCAATAAAATATTTTTAGCTACACTTACTCTAAAAAAGTTTTGAGATCCTCCTTCAGGTACCTCACCCAGGCTTGCTCTAGCACATCAACAGCATGGTCTTGAGCACTGTTGAACACTGAAGCTTCTATGAAATCTTTGGCACCCATTAACTGCTGATGAAGCACATCTCTTTCTTTGGGATCCATGTCTGAAACGCAAATGATAAAATGTTTCAAAAAGATTCACTATCTGATTATGCAATCCTATATTTTAATTTGGCCTAAGAAATATTCTTTTGCAAAATCTGATAACATGGTGAAAATGGTCACATTTCTTTGATTCCTTATTATAATAATGCAAAATAGCTGAAGCTTTCAGTTAACAAGTAAGTCATTTTAGGGTTACTGTACTTTTATCATTATGGAAATGAGACAGCTGTGTGACATTAAAAAATTCAAATCTTTAAAAGATAAATGAACTCATGATAAAAATCAAGCACAACATAAACTGCATTTATCCAAATAGCACAGACTTACCTTCAAAGTATAAATATCCACAGTAACTGCATACATTTACACAATCTGTCTAGGAAATATATCATACTCACTTATACTATAAATAACATTTCCTCCAATATATTTGTTGTATATTCCCCAGGCATGAGTCATCCGAAGCAGACGATCAGCAGATCTATCTTCCTCAGCACTGTACTCTGACACATCTTGCCAGAATAAATGATTGGCAAGTAATTCTGGGTTCTGTTGTCTACAAATTTAAGTAAGGTAAAGTAAAAAAGATAAAGTAAATAAAATAAAGAAATGATTTTAAAATACACTGAAAATACACTGATAACTGAAGCAATGAATTATAGCAAATTTGCTGATTCTTTGAAAAACAATGGCAAAGTCACAGTTCTAAGGCAGTTCTTATTAAGAAAAATAAATTAAGTCTGCCTTTTCCAAGAGGCAAATCAACAATTTTGAGCTAACATATGCTAAAAATGTAAATTTACAAATTTGCACATACTGATCCAGATAAGTAAAACAAACTTTAAATGTGTAAAAAACACTTTAAAAAGTTTAAATATACAGAAGTAAATATAATAAATCCTGAAATCTTATAAGTTCGAATTTTTCAACAATTTTTGTTATATAAATCCCCTTACTTTTCCAGGTATCTCTGAAATGGTCCTCCAGCAGCTTTATCAGCAGACAGAGCAATCAGCAACTTATCACGCATGGTCCTACAAATAAAAATGATCACCTCTGTGAAAAGTGGATATAAGAAACAAATGGAAGAAAAAAATGAAATATGAAACAAATACATAAGCATATTTATGCAGCATGGCAGTATGGTCAATGCCCCTTACCCTTAATTATGATAATTTTCCAAAAAATATTTTAAAATGTAATTAAAACAGTCGAAAAAAAATGTAATTCAGATTTACCCAGCCCCACCTTGCCCTTGTCCTCTGCACCCTTTTTTTAAAAGCCTACATCCACCAGAGATATCTTAATCTAAAGACATAATTTTCTCTGCCAACAAAGGAGGCTAGGCTTTAGTTGAAATTGGTTTCTTTAGTTGTGGACAATGCATCTCAAACAGTTCTTTGAAAATTTTGATGAAATGAAGTGATTATAATTTCAAAAGAACCCTGGTCTCCTAAAATTTCAAAAGATTTTTTTAAAATTTCATTTTATATTATTTATTATTAACATTTTGCCTTGGCAGAAATCTGCATTGTTGAAATCCTCTCTTGCTGAATTCAAAATTATAGTAAGAAATACTGATTTACCTGTGTGGTGCTTTGGGTATAAACCTAACCCTGGCTGACCTAACTCTATCGTCCCATTGGCGGCCACTCTTGATAACAAAGTCCCACTGTCGTGTCTGGGCAATGTGAAGTATCTCATCTGGTTTCACTGGCAGAGAGTTCACCACAGAGATGGAGGGAAGAAAGGAGGAAGACAATTCCTTGTTGGCTGCTGCGAGGTTTAAGTCACTGGCCATGAACTTGTACTTTTTAAGTTTAGAACTGAAAAAAAATTTCAAGAGAAAGTTGGTGAGTAAAGCATTTTTTTCAAATAAATTATTCATCATATTTTAGTGTGGCCATCTAAAACAGGTTGTTAAGGATACAGATATAACATGTACTATCAGACTAAATTGAGTTTCATTTTGACTTATGCCATTTAAATGCATGACAACAATAAGTGGAAAACAAACGTAACAGCACGTCTACATATATTTGTGCTTTTACAATATGAGAGTTTGGTTTAAAATCATTGAATATAATTAAATATTTTAACATTACATTTATACTCATGTGTAAATACCTAAATCCTGTAAAAAGATTCCTAATATTGCCGAAAAGACGGGAATAAGAAACATTTAAACTGTCATTAATAAAAGTTTGAAAAATTCAATCATAATTCAATAAATTTTAACTGATACAAGAAGCATTTGGGTCACGCTGGTTCATAGATTCTTATTTTCTGAGTGGGTTTGGACAGCTGATTAAGAGAAAATTGCTGAAACATCCAGATATATATACATCTTTTGCTATTAGATACAGGCCTAATGTGCATTATACATGTATACATTATTATAATCCATATTTAAAAAAACTGCTCCCTAACCTGAGTTCATCCATCCTCTCCTTGTGTATGAGGTATCTGGGCACCCAGTATGCTCTCAGTCTTCTCAGTACATTATACTGAGTACGGATAAAGATGGTGTGACTAAGACTGGAGCTGCTTGCTGTCTTCCTCAGCTGAATTTGGGCATCTTCTGTCAAGTTGATTTTGTACTTGTCCTGAATGTCCCTGGGATAAAAAAATTAACAAAATTATTTGGTGTTTCATATAAATCTATTTGTCACTGTTGTTCTGTGGTTTATATGAAATGAATCTATAAATATATGATGCCTAACCAACACATCAAGTTCATGTAGTAAAATAAAAACTTCAGATTAATTTTTTAAAATTTGATATAAATCTAAAAATCTATATCAAAATAAACACATTTCATTAATTCATATCAACTTTTTAAATATATCTCATATGCTCTTCACCTGAACAGCCTGTTTCTGACTGCCATGTTAGTCATATCATCATAATCTTCCATGGAATCTTTGAAGAATTCACAGTCAAGCCAGAAATTCAGAAGATGTATTCCGGAAGTATCTTGGAGGAAAGCTTTTAGATCCTCAAAACCAACCAACTAAAAAGATAAAAAAGAAGAATTTATAACAATATATATGTATAGCAAACAACTGAAAAAACTTCATCTCACAGCAATATATGCTGTCAAAGCATGTGTCCAAATTAAAAGTAAATTTCCATTACAACACCTAATAAAATTGGTTATCTAATCACAAATGACATCAAAGTGTACTCACTGTACTGAGCACCATTTCTTTCATCTGCTGTAGAGTCATGTTATGTTTTCCCTCCAGTTTGCGGACATCTGTCTCTGTCTGTTGCTCGCTGACAACTTCCTCATTGAAGGCGACATAAACCTCTCCATCTACATCATCAGGTTCCTCTTCGCCAAATATGGCATCAAAGTCACTGTACGTTGGTATCCTCATGAACTCATTGTAGTTCACTGGAGCAGAGATAGCCCTGGAAATTGTCAAAATGTAAAACATAAATGTCATCATCAAAATTTTAACAAAATCTTTAACAAGATTTTATTTTTCACATTTTATTATTTTTAGTAACATGACAGACAAGAGTTTTGGGATCTGTGATTTGGATCCAACCCATATATTACAATATGAACATATTGCAATTATAATCTGAACAAAACCACTGTTCCTCCATCAGTTAGATGTTTTAGTAATTTTTTTCAATTTCATAGAATACTTCACTGGAAAAGCATTATCTATTTTTTATCATTCAATATAAAACTCACATTAATTCTCATGTATATGATTCTAGAGCAAGTGGAAAATACTGATACCTTTTATTTTTCTCTCTCTTTGAGAATTTGCTCAATGTTGTGCTATCTCTAGTCTGTTTTGATAAGCTCCTTTCTTTTGATTTTTTCTCATTAGAAGGGTAAGCTGAAAATAATAAGGCTTTATAATTAAACCATTTTTAAAACAAAACATAAAAGTATGTATAATACATATGATAAACATTAATTTTAGGAACTAGAAATATATACTGCTTTTACTTAAGAATTGGAAGAAGTCATCACAATGATTTAAAAAATGTCCAAATCTTCTGATCAATTTGGAAATATAGGCAAATAACCCATATTGCCTCATCATCTTCCCGGGCATTACAAAATCCTTACCCTGTATGTTTTCCTTAATGGTAGCTTCAGTTTCAGTAGTTTAAAAAAGTTTTTAAAGTTTATATGAAATCCATACCTTGCTCGTTTTCATTGATGGAAGCTAAAGTTTCAGTTCTAGTAGTTAGAGTTTTCTCCAGCTCCAGAGAAGTCCCCATGCCCGAGTCTGTTACTCCCTGGAAGCCAAGGCCTGGAGTCTGAGACTGAGAGGGGCCCCTGTAAAACACATTTCAATCAATATAGACAACAAACAAAGGTAGAAATTCAATAAGATAAAATACATGCTCATTGCACCCTGGGTTTCAGAGGTCACGAGAAACTTGTCTCTCTATTATCTCTATCTCTATTATCTCTATTTTTCAAATTCCACTACCTGTTAACTGGAAACATAGTAGAGAGTTCAGATTCAAGAGACTTCTGAAACTCTGGCCAACTCTCTGGTACAGTACGTGTAATCACAGTACTAAGTAGGTTCCAATATGAGGTGAATCCTAGCTTTGTCTCAGTTGAAGAGACTACATAGGTTTATTGTGTAACACCAAAGTTTTCATCAATAATTAAAATGTTTTTTTTCTCTGTTTTGTTTGTTATTTATTTTATAATGTGTACATTATCTATGATTTTTAATCATATTCCAGAATAACACATGAAAATATTATTCTGTGGAATATCACAAACATCAACAAGTGTTTTATTTCTTATCTTATTACCTAGATTTCTTGCCAGAAGCACTTTTAGGTGTCTTGCTGTTGTCCTCCAGTCTCCTTCTGTTGTCTGTCATGTCATCCAGATACCACTGGTCTCCAGTCGATGACGCTGACATTTCACCTGGAACAACAGGACACATTACTGTCATGTATCATGTCCATAGTGTCACACTCTCACTGCTTGCTGGCACTTTATCTAACTTTGTCAGATCTATTGAGGATTCTATATGATACTACAAATGAGAATCAAAATAGGTTGTGAGAACCCTCTTGAATGGAAAAAAGGCTGGCTAGCAAAACATAAAAAAAAGAAAAATAGGTAAGAGTATGTAAGTTTTTACACATTTAGATCATAAAAATGGAAATAAGTCAAATATAATATTATATAAAATCATGGGTTGTTGTTTTAGCAAGGGACTTAGAGCTGCATAATTCTTCTAGAAATATCTAAAGGCATGCCATGCATGTTAGACCTTTATATAGCAAAAAAAAAAAAAAAAAACCCTATCCAAAACCATTGAGAAAGTTATGACCTATAAATTTGTTTTCAAGCCTTAAACTTCTAGTTTAACCATCACAAGTGAAATTCAGCTGTCTCCATTATTAGAGTGTCTCAAATAAAAGAAGAAACTAGAGCTAAAAAAACAGGCTTATGAATTGTAATTCTGTGAACAGTTTGAATATGGTATACCATACTGAAATCTCCTGCTGGAATGTTATTTTTACTATATAAAGGTCACTGTGTGGCTTTAAACTACACTTACCCAAACCCAACTTGGGTGGCAGACTTAGTGCCCTACTGCCTGGCCTCTCATATCTATATAGAGCCGACTTCCTCACTTCAGTCCAGCTGATATTGTCTTCATAGTCAGATGCTTCATTGGCACTGTTGTCAGCACTGTTACTGAGACTGGACACAGAGGTCCCCGTCTGGCGACTGTACCCTCTCAGGGCATTACTGCTCACTCTTCCCGCGGAATACCTGTCGTCAAGGCTACGCAGAAGGAGCTTGCACAGCTTGAACTCACGGAAGAGTTTGGTTCTATAGTTTGAGAAAAATTATAAAAGATATCAATAAATACTGACTGAAATAATGCATTACCTAGGTATCTAGTGCAGCTATATATCTAATCAAAAATCAGTTTGTTCCTCTAGCATTTAAGCAGCTGGCATTAAAAAACCAATTAAAATTAGAAAAAAGTAAAAGTTTACATCAAGAGAAATTATTCAATGTATCAAATTATCTCTATCTTCTGATCCACTTCATTTTTATTCTATCAAACATATCAGTTTCTTCACAACTTGACAACATAACCTATCCATGATAATGACAACCCATTTAGTAATCTTTTTGGTCTGCACACTGCCCATTTAACCCACCTCAGAAATAAAGGCAATCTTTCTTGTTTGGCCCATTCTAGCATATGTTCCCTCTCTTCATCAGTGGCACCATACGGAGCATGATCTGGGAGCACCACACTACTGTTAACACTGCTGTAGGAGCCTTCAACCTCACGGAACGTACCAGTTAGTCGGTCATAGTAGAAGGCTTGTGGAAACGCCTGCAAAATTGTCGACCCATTAATTTTTTTCATTCAGTTTATCTCAACATGATAATATTATTTCAAAATGTACCTAAAATTATTAATGTTTTGGAAAGAATTCATATCATAATGTTAAACAGTCCATTATCAAACCTTTAGGCTGAAATTCAGATCAAATTTACACAATTCTGTTTCCTTTGTACTGTAAAACACTCAAACATATTATAATAGAATTTTAAATTTATGAGAAAAGACATCCATAAACCTGCTGGATATAAGGTATAAAATAATTGCTTAAGTATATATATCAAAGTTGTCACCTCTACCAGGCTAACATATTCTGCACATTAATACTGGTTCTGTATAGGGTACTGTACATGTAAGTATGCCCAGCTTTCTTTCTTGTGAACATTGTACATTCTCAGTTACATGTGCCTACATGTACACATTTAATTATTAAATATAATTTAAAACCAAAAATGGAGGTTGATTTTTCTTTGCCACAAATTACATATCTGCTACAAGTACAGTAAAATAGAGATCTCCAATTTAATTTTATCTGTAATATCTGCACTCACAGGAAGGGCTAGGAATGCATTGAAATAGTCCAGAAACAAGTCATCATAGGCCAAGAGATCTTCCAAGTTTTCTTCACTTAAGTCAACAGCTGTAACAAAAAATACAAATCATATCACCTACTGTTTTAATACAAAAGTCGATCATTCTTTATATATATTTAAAATAAAAGCATGCACTGCTGTGATATCAAAATTGCTCAAATTTCTGCTGATATATATATATTCATAATCATGAATTTAATACAGAGAATACTGAATAAATTGTTACATTTAATAAACTGCGCATCATATTTGATACAAATATAAATATATATCTTTTTATAGATTTTATAAACCACAATTTAATTATTAAGGAGACTGAATTTGAACGACTACTAATATGGCTTACACACTGTACCTTATTATCCAGGGCACAGCTTAAAAACATTCTTCAGACATTCAAAATAAAGACAGAGATTAACAAATACCTGCTTTTACAATTCTGAGAAATAGAAATGACAAACAACTTTGACAGTCTAGTTTTAAATATTTTATTCCGTACAAAGTTTAAGTACCTTTCATTGCTGCAGGTGCTTCTGTCCACGGTAGCTGGGACTAGGTGGTCTTAAAACGAACCTTTTTATCCGATTGGGCACAGATTTTTGGGCAACGACGTTACTCTTCTTACAGATGTAAAGATTTATGCTATATCTCCACTCTTAAGGTTTGCAACATCCTCTTATTACAAAGTTTAGGCCTTTCCAGGAGTCTCCGTTGCTAAGGATGGGTGCCGCCATGTTGCTGCTGTGGCTGTTCCAGAATACTCCCTCCGTGACAAAGCTGTTATATGACCCACGTGCACCCGCACGTTTCCCTAGTTATAGCATAAATACTTTCGCAATTTCCGACACTAATACCCTCGTCACAATAGTGGTATGAGCTAGAAGTCGTCGGAATGAAAAATCTTTTTCTAACTCTTTTATATCTAATGAAAAGTACATTAAAAATTCTGAGAGCATCCCCGAATGTTTTACTCATGCATGCCCATTGAATATCAGATGGTGCATTGTACAGTATTCTAACCTGTGCAACTGCACCATGACTGTATTCTTCATATTTAAGAGTCAGTTCTACAAGTTTGAACAAAATCGGTCAAACGGTTTTAATTTCCACTAACATTCTACTGTCATTTCTGAAAGAGCACGGTGTCATTGTTGATGGCTGTGTACAGACATGATGGTTTGTAATGTACATACTAAAGGAAAATGTTTTACTATTTTTTTTGTTTGCATTCCCCAGTGTCGCAGACAAATGGACTTCAGTCCAAAAAGTATATACTTGTGCTGTCATTATATTCAAGGGTTGAGACTGGTCAACCAATGTCTAACTCAATCATTGTCTAACTTCAAATACATGAACTTGCTGTTTCCTAGCCCCCATTTCCCCTAGATACATGGCCATGTGTACAAATAAAACGCAAAAAACACAGGTTATGGAGAAAACACCATATCCTTTTTATTTCATAGTGATACAGACAAGACGCATTCAGTGCCACGTTGACATCAATTCACTGTGTAAAATAATTACAAAAATGAACAATTCACTGAACCAAATAAATAAAAACACTGAAAGTAGATCCTTTTTTAAAAATAAAAACAGACTGGTTCAACCTTTACATGTAATAAAAGAAATCGATGGTATCTGATCTCAAAATGTGTTTTTTTTTGTCTTACATACTCTGTATCTAACAATGCTAGATCAAAAGTCAACTCTGTCTCCATTAAACATGAATGAGACAATAATCATACTTCTCACCTTAAATTTGAATGAGACTCATTAATGCATTTTATCAAAAGCAAAGAACTCAAGTTATTAATGAAAAATGCATTCTAAAACAATTCATTTCTTGAATAATTGTTATAATTTTACAAAAAAAAAAAAAAAATTTTAGTTCATGTCTGAAACTAATTCACTAAAGAGGTTAAAGAACAATGATGCAGTTTCTCCATAAGGTATTTAATATTATCTAAAATATATTGTATTTTACATGTGATATTAACTGTGGTAAAGTAGATTTCTGTTCAACATGAACAGCAATTTATCAAAAGCATGTTGCACAGGTATGAACTATTTTTTTTTTCAAATATACACGTTAAGCTTAACTGTCTCAGAATCACTTATGATATACAACAAAGATTTACATGTAACATTATCTGTAGCATGTCACTTGATCTGGATGGGGGGGGGGGGGGGACTGAAAATCGAATAGTTGTTAAACTTTTTGATGGCATATATTCTTTGATTGCTAAATCTTTCATAACTTTTAACCAAAAACAACATCTAATTGACAGACAGAATATTAGCTATGTGGACTGTACATAAAGGCTGAAACAAATATTAAAATGTTTTTATATACTTAATAATAATAATAACAACGATAATATAAAGCATACCAAGCATGCATGCACAAGTATCTACATTTTATGGAGATAATCCATCTTGCATCATTCCATAAATTGTGGGTAAAAGATTTTCCATTTTAGACCAATGCTTTCTATAGAATTTTATGCTGTAGTGAAAAGTTTACCAAACAAACTGGATTCAATTTCAACTTGATATTGAATGAATTCAGCAAAAACTGGTAGAATAAATAGTGTGTGTGCAAAGTCAAGTTCAGCATTACCAGCATGACACGGCAGTTGAACTGAAAAGGAAATTACCAAATAAATAAAAACAATGCCCTTTGCGATAAAATTGATAAATAAACTTCACATATACAATAAAATATATCTTAGCATATGCATGTAGGTGCAGGCCACATATACTTCTCTTATACCTGCACTATAAAGCTTACATATACAGCTTAGCTAAGCAGATGCTTATAAATACCAACTGTTATCCTAGTTAAAAGACCTACACTGTTCAAGTGTACGTACAAAAAGTTTATATACCAGGCTAAACTCTTATATATTATTTCAAGGTGCTCTACCAGAGTAATAGATGTAATATGCAACACTTAAAATTGTCACTAATAAAGTTAATAGAGCGAACTTAAACTCCTCTCAAAACTCCAGTCAATAGATTGAATCTATTGACAGACTGCATCAGACAAATCCACTACCTTTACACTTATTTCGAAAATCCTTGTTACGAAAAACAACAATCCAAAAATAATGGTCTGGTGCCCACATCTTAGCAGTACATTAAAATAGTGCTAAAAGACCATGGGATCAGAGTCTGTTTATATTATTATCATATAAGATGTAAAGATAATTGTCGAAGCAACACAATTCCTTTAACTTTTAATCTGAATCCTTTCTTTAACAAGCACTTGAACTCAAAAACAAAAAAGCACTGACAAATCTCTTTTCCTGTTCCTGCATCTCAGTATTTACAAGTCCAATCACCATCTCACACCATGACAATCAAACTTAATACAATTATAACTTCAATATATAATGTATAGAAATCATACCATTTTTCACTTAAACAATTTACAATAGTAAAGGTTAATGTGCTTTAGACAGCTACAGATATTGATCCCTCCTGTAAATGTCAAGTGTATTTGTTGTGTTATTCGAGTTGTCCAATCTGGCAGTTACCAACCTCTTATCATTGTCACTATAGGCCACTTGTGTCAGGTGCTAACAGCCTCCCTGTAGTGTCAACTGACAGTCACAACTACTTTATAGAAATGGCACATGTGCCAAATGCCTTACACGTCACTTAACATACAAGTTTCAGCTAATTTCAATTGTGTATCATCAGGTATCAGGAGTCAACAAACTGCATCAAGTGACAAGTCAGGAAGCAACACTAGTGTCAAAACCACCTGTGTCAAATATAATCAGGCACTAGCATTCATGTCACTTGACAGTCAAAATGAAAAGGGTGTCACCAACTGTTAATAACCACCAATATTGTCACATGTTACCTGTGTCACATAGCAAGCACTAACTGTAAGTGATCCCAGTGTCACCAAATGTCAGTGTATCACGGGTTAAGGAACCAAGTTTAATTAGGTATAAAGTTTGTCACCCAGGATATGGAAATATGTTGCAAATTTTGTGAATGAGATCACATTTACAGCAAGGAGTATGTGTGCTCATTTCGGCAGCTTGGTAGCATAATTCGGCCTATGAGCATGTTGCGTATATTCAGTATGAGATCAGTGGAATACAAGACCTATACCAGGTTATAAGACTTATACAAGGTTACAAGACTAATTACACCTGGTTTCTATTAACTTGTACCCTTTTAGAATAGCTGTAGCACTCAGACAATGGTGACCAGCTAGAAGTGGTGGTGGTGGTGGTGGTGGTGCCCACCACTGGCAGAGGAGGAAGAATCCAGTGCTTTCAACAGTTCTTCTCCACTGAGCAAGTGTGCCACATGTGCTGTCATTGGAGGAGCCGTGTTCATCTCAATATCGGTTTCAGTTATGGATGGAAATAGATCATGTCGCTGCTGTGGGTGGTGGTGGTGATGGTTGCTATGTTCATGATGGGGGCCCCATGTCTGTGAAGAAAAATGTAGAAAACTTAACATTGAAAAAAATAAAGGAACAAAGGTGTTCAAGTCTTACAGGTCTAACATTACCAGTATGTGTATATATCGCCCTGCATATAAATATGTATATGGCTGATGTTAGAGCTACACTGCATGAGCATCACAGTGCATTATGCCTATATGTTAGTACATCTGATATTACTGAGATCTCTATGGAAATGGAAGTATGCATTCAGTATTACTACCTTTTCCTAGAATCTAGTCCAGTCAGTGCTGTGGAGACTGAGAACTCTGCAAAGAGAACCACACAAAGGAGAACATATAGAGTGCAAGCAGGTTATATTCCAGTGGCATAATATCAGGTGCAAAAAACACAGACAAAAGGAGAGCTCAGACAGAGATTAACCTGATCGAATAAAACTTTAGATGAAGTTACAGGGGCAATCTAATAATCTGTGTCTGAACCTGTCTCAAAACATTGCTGCTTTATTTGAAAACCTCAATCACAAAAAAAAAAAAAAAAAAACAATACAAAATCATTCACCTCCTGCAACATCATTTTTAGTAAACCCCTTTAACCAAGAAAAATCTATCCCAACTGGCTAGCATAGCTTTCACACTGCCCTGTACAGATGCCCAGTGCAATACAATGATTTCAGCATTGTGAACCAAAAGATGGCAGCACCTGCAGAGATATCTTTGGTATACAATCGTCAAATTCTTTTTTTTTTTCCAATATATCAGGTGCATCGGTTGTAAGGGATATTTCATAAAAGCAGACAACACTCGATCACATAACTAGAATAATAAATGACTCAAAGCAACAAAGCAACAAAAAGCAAAATTCAAATGTTACCAGCATCAACATGCAAGGATGGCTGCCATTCTACAGAAAGAAAGATGGCTCAGAGAAAGAAGACAGAATGATGCACAGTGTAAAATTATAAAGAAATCGCAATCTTTTCTTTATGGGCAATTGACCATTAAAGCATTTTATCAAGAGCAATAGTGAATAACATTTTTTTAATCACTGACTGGACCAATCAATATTTATTAGTAGCTGATTTGACAAAATATTAAATTTGGAGACTAATACCATGCAGAAGTGATACTTGATTTTTAAAATTTCCAATTCAAAAATTTATAACATGTTGAATTGACAAATGAATTCTAGAGAACTCTTATGTACAAAGACTAACAAAACTTGAAATACCTAAAATATGTTATACTACAAGTAAAACATGATTTAAGATTCAAACTTTAAGTCTTTCTATCAATTGGTCTAAATATCACTTTGCCTCCCCCCCCCCCCAAAAAAAAAAAAAAAAAGTAATTTAAAGTATAATAAATAAGGTTGGCATTGCCACAATATTTTTAGTGTTTACAACTAGGTTTGATAATGTACTTATTATGGAACATTGGAGCAGTGAAAAAATCCTGAACATCACCGAGTTCTCATCTAAACCCAATCTCAGCCCAGTAAGAATACCATTATAGACTATATATAACACATCACGTTGAGTTGTGCCCCAGTTGCTACACAAATTTCAATTACAGAGATATCATTCAAAGTAAACGTGATTTCTTGCATGTCCTGTGGTTCGTGCATCAAAAATTTAGACAGAAGAAGAACAGTTTGTGGTTAGAGTTTAGTAAGTTTAAGGAAGGGAGTGCAAATTTCAAGGACTTTGTTGATTATATACTAAATAGTTGACTTGTTCAATTCCACTTCCTCAATTAAAAAAATCAAATGTGGTTGATTTTTTTCATCAAAAAATTGGCATTAAGGACTGTTTAATCATAATGAATTAAAGAAATGTAAAAACCAAATCAAGCTAATTGACTCAGAACATAAATTAATTGAAAGGTGCTAAATGAATTTCAATTTAGTTCTTGCATGAAGAGGCAGCAGATGAAATTGCTTTGCCCTATAGCTAATACTAGTTAAATAAAATCAAACTGAAAACACAAGGTCAAATTTTTTACACTAAAAGCAATTTTAGTTAATCATAGCAACATTTAATTTTATTATCTAGTCAAAAAAACATCAGATGTGAAGTTCAGAAAGTTTAATGTTACACTAAACTATAATTACATCCACCTTCAGATTAAGAGAGGTAAATTGAATGTTACAGTAAATTATAATTATACATTTGCACACCAATTAGATAGAAATGGTCCACTAAAAAGCAATCCTGAATACTTCTCAAGAGAAAAAAATATTTCAGAACCTAAAATTTTAAAGATTTTGAACAATTTATTGTAAAATTGTTAAAAGCAGAGGATAACTTTGCTAAGGTATATCTGAGGAAAAAATAAAGCTCGATCCCACAAGATCTATCATTCTAAGAAACCAAATACCAGAGAAAATACTTCAGACACAACCTGTGTTAGGACAGCTTTTATCAATCATATAATATATATCATCTAATTATCAATGTTTACCTCATGTTTATCATATCTTCTAGCCATAAGCACTTGCTGGGTTGGTCTGATCAGTTTCTGATGGGTGGTCTGCGGCTGCTGGGAATGAACTCTGTAGCCATAGTTTTGGTCCTCCCCACGCAGGAGAAGGTTCATAAGAACAGTGCTCTTCTGATCTTGTTCTGAAGCTAAAAAAGATGCAGCAGTTGTCAAGAGGCTAACTGATATTTTTCATAGCATGGTTTATTTTGTTTATATCAATGGCCATGTTTACTAACCCTGTATTTTCAGTCTTGGACACTTAAAATATAACTGCATACTGTATACCTAGTTCAATCCAAGTGTTGCAAAAACAAAAGTTCAGGCAGGTCATATTTCAGTACTCTTTTCAATCATTTGCAGATTTACATTTTTATTTCATGAATTTATTCACATATTTCTTGAGACAGAGGAGATAAAAACACCTAAGTGACATTTGTAACATCTTCTGCATGTTACAACATCTAAAAATGTCTGTCCTTCAAAAAAAAAAAAAAAAAAAAAAAATGCATCTCTACCCTCCATATGTAAAACTTAAACAGTATCTTAGAAACAAAATTCTGGCATTTTTATCGGTTTTCTTTTTACCTAAAACTTTATCCTTCCTTGTCTGTCCTTGACCTGTGTCCAGTCTGAGGACTTTGGAGAGTGGCGGTCCCTCTTGTAGATCTGCTGGTCCCAGTGGGTGCTTGTCACGAACCCACAAGTTACTGTGTGCAGGAGGGGCTGCAACAGGGCTGCCATCTGGTGGTGGTGCTGGTGGTGGACATCTGCGCTTGACCAAGAATTTGCCTGTGTTATCTAACAGGGCAGAGGCCAGGGATTTATTGCTGGACAGAACTTGTCTTGTGCTGCTGGTCATAGGTGGCAGGTGAGTGGGCTCTGGGGGCTGGCTTGTCTTGGGCAGAAATGCAAGGCGAGTGCTGGAGACAGGAGGAGGGCCACACAACATGGTCTTCAAACCACTGGCAGAATTTGGATCTTTGTTACGCTGGAGAGCATTGCCTTGGCTGCCTCTGGCAAAGCGATCCCTAAAATAAAACAGCTGGTAATTTTTTTTTTCATGAGCATCCTGATTATTTATAATACAGCTTTTCCAGAACAAAAAAAAAAGAAAAAGATAAGGCTGTAATATATGTAATTAACTCTGTGCATAAGCCTTTAGATGCCAGAAAATCAACTTTAAACTCCTTAAGTTTGCATTTTGAAAAAAAAGGACTTGCAGAAAATCAATGATTAATTTTCAATAATTTCATCAACTTATTGGTGAATTTTGTTTATCTCTACGGCCAATAAAAACTTACCCAGTATTTTCATTGTCTGGCACACATGGGTGTAGTAAGCTGGAGTGGAACAGACTGAAGTCTTGATCAGAATCCATTGGGATGTAGGGGGCCCTCATGTACATCTCCATCTCATCCTATAATACCACAAAACACAAAATGATGGTAGCTAGAACATGAGGAACAGTGTGGACAATCTGGAAATTTAACAACTGGCAATGTCTGAAGCCCAGAAAGCTAATCTTGTTGATTGGAGGAATGTAATTATGAAGAATTCAAAATAGAAGAATTGTGGCAAACTTAATATTGCAAATTGAAATACACAGTGACCAAATGGTATATCTGCAAAAAAGGGAGTTTTAAAAATAAAAAAAATATAATTTAATACTTAAAAGAATTTTTCATTTCCACGATATTTTATTTTAAAAAATCCCCAAAGCAGAGAATAATTCTAATCTCATTTTTCACATAATGAAAATCCCATCAAGTTAGTGAAAGAGAGGAATTTCCAAGGTGTGTTCAGTAGAGATGTACACTTCCTTGGTAGCCCACAAATTGCAAATTCTGCTGAAAGGATGGGTATGTCTGAATTTCATGAAATGTGAACAAACAGAATACCCTAAGAGACTATCCTTATTGATTTTAAACAAATATCCATTATCACTGAAGGAAATGAAATAAGAAATAATTTTCCCATCCATCCTGTTCACAAATTTCCTAAATTTTTTTGTTAATCAAAATCTGTTTTTCGTGTTAGACAGAATTATACAAATGTTCATGTTATGCAAGTGTCCATCAAGAATATTTCTTCCAAAAGATTTTACAGTGTGTAAAAAAAGTCCCGGAACGTGCCATTCTACAAAATAGTAAAATGAAATCTAACAGCCGTTCACTTTCATTCAAAAAATCAATTTAAAAAAACTGAACAAAAAATATTTCCATTAGTTCCACATCATTTCCATCTCAACCAGACATATCACAGACTCAGTGAGGCCTGTCTGCACTAAATTACAGTCCCATGTGCTCACAGAGGGCAACATCTCAGGAGGGTGTGACTAAAGGCACATAGTAACAAAGTCCGCACTCTGGTGCATAAACATAGCAGCAAATTTCCAGGTCCTTTTGAAGAGAAATTTTGTTAATGGAATCCTGGTTTTGTTTTTGAAATGGATGTTTAACTTGACAACAGATGTTTGCAATCTATTCTTTAAAGCACTGGTCACAAATAGAACAAACGTTATATGCTGGGCTCAATCCCATTGAAACTATCTGTCTACATAGATCAATCCAACTCTGTGGGGGCTCTAGCTGAATGCAATCAGCTTAACAGACTCACACATCTCCTCCTGGAGTTGAGTAGAATAGAGAAGAGCTGGTGATTACACTAGTATGTTGGAAAGAAGAGGAGGAGTGTTCATCTTTTAAACTGATTTCATTCGTGGGAGTCCTTCTGGAGTTGAGTGGATCTACGTAGAGCGATAGTCTTAATGGGAATGAGCCCTTTAGTACAGTAATATTCCAAATGTCATATTGTCAATTTCCAGATTAAAACAATTGCTTTAAGTAACCAAATACTGACTTACAAAAAGAGAAATGATGACCATGTGACCCAAAATGTATCTAATTCCATCTGTTTAAAGTCAACATGACCAACATTTGTTGGTGTTTTCGTAGAGTAACACATGACAGAACACACGTACAAAAAGAAGAAGGTCAAAACAGATGCAGCATTCTCCTTGATGATAAATGCATGTATGACATAATAACAACAACAAACAATAATTCTATGTTCAGGGGTTTTAAATGGCAGAAAGAGTTCTTCTGAAACATAAAACTTAAAAACTTGTATTTTGCTCTTGTTACTACAACAAATTATTTTGTGAATGCTGTTTTGATAAAATGTTTACCCAAAAGTGCACATAAGCCCTGTTCATTTCCCTGAAGTTCAAACAGTTGGTTTCAAAGTTTTACGAAATGCCCATACAGAATACAGCGCACATGGAAATGTCAGGTTTTTAAGCCAAACAGCTGTTTTTCCAGTCAATTAAATAATAGTAACATAACGTGTTGAAAAAATGATAAAATACATTAAAAAATTCTCTTAGGTCTAAATGAAATACTTTAATGCTTGCAAAAGCCTGATAATATCAGTACTAAAACTCAAAGAAAACTACGTACATCGTCTGCATTGTCCATGGTGTCCACATAGATTCCAGTCTCGCTGACCTTCAGTCTGTCCAACATCACACTGTCCAGATTAACCGGTGTCTGGAGAGCCTCTGGGGGAGCCGGGGTATCAGCTGGGCTAACATGTTGCTGCTCAGACTAAAAACAATAAGCAGACATTGTCACATTTGCCATACCGGTCAAAACAAAAGACACTTTGTTGCTACAACAGTGTCGGTTGTTGTTTTTCAAACTATATATGATTGAAACATACTAAAGAACAATTGGTGAGACACTAAGCATTGGAACTAGACACTTGTAATGCTTCCTATTTCTGTCACAGTGTTTCTTACATGTATATATACAAATGACAATCATGCATAAAAATCCTTATGTTATGACTACTTTTTCAAGCACCAAAAGAAAACCTGCAGATCTTCAAAACTTGCAGTGGTTTGACCAGCTTACATTTTTAGAAAAAAAAATATTTTGCAATTTTTATAACTCATCTCTTCAGCACTTCTTTTCAAACAACAACCAAAAACTGCAGTGGATACTATACCGGTGGGGTGGAACTACAATTGCTGTCCATGTCGCACACAGATTCGCTGCTGCGCTGAACATACTGCCTGAAACTTTCATTTCTAGCATCTGGCTCCTTCTTCATTGGGTAGGGACACAGAGGGTCATCCTCGAAAAACGGCCCATCATACATGCTGGTTCCTTTATCAAACAGTTCTTCTGCAAACAAATCATATCAAATATAAATATTTGGAACATTCTCATCTCTACATCTTTTTATAACTGAAGTCTTTTAAAATAAATGAAGCTGCATNAACGTAGCCGGGCGAACGATCCGGACGGGACCGAAACCATGTGTACCGCCAGCGCTAACGCTGGTGGTACAATAAATGAAGCTGCATCAACATGCTGCATTTTCCCTCAAACGCAATACATGCATGTACAGAAAAAGCTAATCATAACAACTTTACAGACAAAAGAAAATATTTACAAATCTACACAAAATCAAAATAGCACATACTGAAGCTGCTCTTTGGGAGACTTATATTTTGAATCATTTAAAAATAATTTATTTCACTGTTTTAAATGTTCAAGGCTTCATTTGTAGTCTCACATTTTCACTCTATTTTTTTTCACAAAAACATTGGTTTTCACTTTTTCTTGAATGATAAGCAGGGGTTTATGAGTATTAATAATACAGCAGTTCTATAACATCTGAGCTACCATCCATATAAATCTGTACATATCAAAAGGAAATTTATTCAATGCCAAAAGCAACACACAGAAACCAATGGTAAACAAGAAAACAAAAATACAGAAACCGTGGTGTATTTACTGCAAAACCTGTCAAAGATTGGTCCTACAAAGGTGTTTTATACAGTTTCTATTCCAGCAAAATGGTATATGGTTTCATAAAAGACAAAACATGCTTTCTTCTTTTTGAGGCTTGATATTTCAATCCTACAGCAAATGTCATGCTTCCTAAAAAGTCTAATTATTTATGGTTTCACCATTCTTATACAACAAAAGACATTGAAAAACCAACTGCAGTTCTCCCTTAGTTCAAAAGAGAGGCTTTTAAGAGGTTCATGAGGGAAGTGTCTCTTCTCTACTGGTTTGCTACATGTATCTAGCTCTTACCAGAGAAGCTGGATGGAATTGGCAGGGGAATACAGGCATCTCCAAAGGCAGGAGCATATTGAAGCAGATCCTCATCATCTGCCCAAGCTAAATAATAATAAAACAGAAGAGGTATACATAACACATCTTCTGTGCATTTGCTTCACATGCACCTCAATCAACTCATCTAATAATACTACATTTCCTTTATTCTAAGAATCCTCACCCCCCCCCCCCCC